AGATTCTTCCCTCCCATAGTCCATACTCCTCTCGGGGAGAGTGAGTTACCCTAGGGTGTGTGTGTGTGTGTGTGTGTGTGTGTGTGTGTGTGTGTTGCCTCCTCAACAAGAGAAGAGTAGGTTGGGACTTCCCTGGTGGTCCGATGGTCAAGACTTCACTTTCCGACGCAGGAGGGATATGGGTTCAATCCCTGGTTGGGAAGCCAAGATCCCACATGCCTCATGGCCAAAAAACCAGAACATAGACAACAGAAGCAATATTGTAACAAATTCAATAAAGACTTTAAAAATGGTCCACATCAAAAAAAAAAAACAAGACAAAACACTTAAGGACAAAAAAGGGACAAGAGTAGGGGCCATGTTGTCTACGGTCATAGAGCACCCCCACCCCTCACCCCCTGCCAACAGTGTTTCATTCATCCCGGCAGAAATAAAAACCAAATCAGAAAAATGGTCACTTGTGAAATCTCCTCTTCCAATCACATGTGCTTTGGGAAGAAACTTTTTCACTTGTGTCTTCCTTATCTATATTTTACTCTCTTTCATTGTGTTTTACTTCGCATTTCTCAGAGGCTGTTAAATGAAGTACCATGAAACTTCAGTGGAGAAATACTGAAACATTCAGAGCTGAACAAAGTACAACAGGACTTCTCGGCAGCTGAACAAAGTACAACAAGACTTCTTGGCACCTTCGTAATCACCATGAGAGGGATGCAGAATTTGCGGTCTTCCAAATTTGCTTAACCTTGAAACTCCCTCTTTGGAAGGCTATTTTGAGGAACTGACGTCGCTTCAGTCAATGCTTCAGTAGACGTCAGCTCTTCTCATGAATGATGTACAGCACCCAGCAAGGATGGTGCCCAGGCCAACGCTCATTAAAGACCAACACCTCTGCCTTTCTCAGGCCAGAAGACTAGAAATGCCTCATCTTCTAGAACTCTTAACTGTCTCAGGAAGAAGACGACCTTTGGCCAAGGAGGGATTCCCTCTGGTCTTTGCCAGGGTGTGTTTCGCCCTGGGATAGTGAGGGGATACCCAAAGCTGTTCTTTCCACCATGGGCCCTTGTGAAAAGCCAGACCCCTCAGCTGCCTATCCCCAGCAGTACCAGCATCAGGGCAAGAAAAGCACTCCAAAGCCCAGAAAAGTCCAGCCCTAGCACTGGGGCTGGGACGACTCTTTTAATTACAACTCTCACCCTCCCGCTGACCGCCTTTTTGGACCGGGTCTAACTTCTCTGGAGCCCCTCATGAATCAGCTCTCACCTCCTGGTGCCATGGGGGTCAGGGGTCACTGTAGTGTCAGTGTGACAGGCTCTGGGACCTGTGCCCTTGTCCTGGATGTCTGCCAACCACTCTATGACCTGGACATACATCCATAAGCCAGTGTTGCTTTCTTCAAGTCAGGGGGAAGAGAGGGATGGTCTGCTAGCTTCCTGGGAATGCTGGTGATGTTGGAGAGTGGGTGGGGGTTGGAGGGCTGTCAGAGCCAAGCCAGCAGACGGGGCCAGGGCATTTGGAGAAGCCAGGCCAGTTCCCACAGGTCACCAACATGGAAGCTTTACAAACAGAGCTCACTTGCAAAGGATCTGTGTGGCCACTGCCGTCGGGGCAGCATCACTGCTGACAGTGCTTCTGCCCATCACTTCCTCCTCACTTCCCCCCACGCTATCCCTACAAAGAAGGGTGGGAATCGGGTGGGAATTGGGCAGATGATATGCCCTGGGCAACGTCCAGGGTTTCTAAGAACCATACCAAGCATCTGCCAGCCAGCTCCTGCTTCTTCCTCTTCCTCTCCCTGGCCTGAGTACCTGCTGGGGTGGTAAAGAAGCACCATTCAGGAGACACCCACGCTCTGTGCTTTGGTGTGTTCGCTATGCAGCTTGCAATCTCCATGTGTCCATCTGGGACATGAGCACAGTGGTTCCTTCCTGGCTTGTCTCATGGGGCCGGTGGGGGGGTGGGGTGCTCTCAGATTCACACAGAGAGAGAACTAAAAACGAGTCTCCCTTCCATTTCCCCAAAGCTTTCCCTTCCTGTACTTCAGCCTCTCTCCCCGATGAAGATCAAATCCGGACTCCCTCTCTGCCAACACATGAGGCCACAGGAGACCAAAGGTCCCACCTCATTTGATTCCAATCACAGAATTACAGGGTGAGAGACACTGAGCTAGCCTTACCTGGGCTGCAAATTGTATCCCAGAAAAGACAGCACCCACACCCTTACCACTCATCTGCTCTAACTAGACTTGAGAGTCCCTTCTCCTCTGCAAAGCCCTTTCCTGGGAAGAACTCAGAGACTGTGGCCGAGCAAGTATGACTTCAATCATGACAAGAATGAATGCAAGTGACCCTACCTCCATCTTCCCAGCTGGTCCATTTGGGGCAAGAGGGTAGGACCACAGGCAGGAGGAGAGAGCAAAATGGGTTCATTTCTGCCCCCTCCCTACTTCCCCCAGCCAGGCGCCAGGTCAGTGCTTCCAGTTAGGGACGCTCTAAAACCGGTTCCCAGCATAAGTCAACTGGAAGACGCCCAGGATGATGAGAAGATGCCTTGGCCCAGACAGAAGAGCCCTCCTGGGCAGCCGCGAAGCGCTCAGGATAAGCCCTTCCCCGTTTCAGTGCTGCGGCTCCTTTATCCTCCTGATTGTAACTAACAAAGCCTCCATCATTTCCGTCTCAGACTGCGGGATCTGTAGATGGGAGTCCCAGCCCTTAACACATGCTCTCTGTCTGCAGGGGCCTGATGGAGGTCATTGTTCTCACTTCAGGTTTCCCTGAAATCCCAGCAAAACCACCAGAGCTCAGAGCTCGGGGGCAGGACAGGGAAGAGGCCGGAGGAACCCCAAGCTGTAACGTGGGAGGGTGAGGACCCACTAAGCCAAGATGAGAGAGGAGGGGAGACAGAGGAAAGGAAAAAGAAGAAGGGAGGAACATTTCACCACAAAACCTTTTTTTCCCAACAGAGCGACGTGACTAGGGAGGAAGGCCGCAAAAGGGCACGCAGACGAGTAAATATAAATACGGTTATTTTCGGGCTGGGGGGAGGGGAGAATGGATGCCGGTGGTCTCCCCAGCTTCTTCCTGGTGGGTCGGGCGCTCGTCCCAGGGAGGAGCCTGGGCGCTCTCAGCCCTGGCGCGGCGGCCCGACGGGGCGGCCAGCGCGGAACCGCAGGACCAGGGCGGCCCCGGGCGGAGGCTGGGCCGCACCTCGGGAGGGTCGGGCGGAGGTGTGAGCAACACTTTGCCATGTGGCCGTGCCGAAGGGCGAGTTCTCAAAGCCCCCATTCATGGACCCGACAAGCAGGGGCGGCGAACAGGAAAAAAATTGTTTCCCCCCGTCGGCCTCGAAAGGTGGGTTCCTGTTTATTAATCGAGGACCACATCAAGAATGCTGGGTTACAAATGTTCCTTCTCAGGAGCGCCGTAGCTGGTGGCTGGAGGTAAAAAACTGAAAATTCCATCCGGTGGACAAAAAGCTGCCGCTGTGGGTGTACACACCACACACACGCGCGCGCGCGCACACACACACACCGTGGTTGGTTTCACAAGGAAAATTCTACAAAAGGAAAAGGATGGGGAGGCAGCAAGAGAGTATCTTGCTGAGGGTGAAATGCTTTCCCTAGAGCTGGAAACAGGCCTCCTGCTGGCAGCTCTCTGGTGGTGGGCTTAGCAGCAGCCCTTGCACCCCCTTTCTTCCTGCAAGCCACCCCACACACACACACACGCACACACACGCACACGCACACACACACGCACGCACACACGCACGCACACGCACACACACGCACACACGCACACACACACGCACACACGCACGCACGCACACACACACGCACGCACACACACACGCACGCACACACACACACACGCACACACGCACACACACTTCTTCCTTCTGAGCTGGTAGTAGTCAGAAATGCTCAAGGGGATTTTTTTTTTCAGGATCATTAGCAATTAGTTCCCTGTAAAAATCGGGGAAAATCGAAAGGAGGCCCTTGGAAGAGGTTCAGAGAAATTCATTCACCAGGCAAGGCTGGGCCAGACCAGGAAGGTCCCCCCCACGCCACCCCCGCCATTCAGAGGCTGGGCGGCACTTCCCACCTACAGCAGGCACCATGGAGAAGGAATTAAAGGAGCAAACTGCAGATAAGATGGAGACTCCGGTTCTCCTTTGAAGCTTAATTAAAGCAAAATGATCAGGCCTTACTCTTGGCTGGCTGCAGACTTCCCAAATGGCAGCGATAATCGCTAACAGGGAGCCATGCTATTCCAGAGTCCAGGGATGAAGTGGAAGCTGATTCAGGCTTCCAGTGAGGTAGAGGAAAATCTGAACTGTGATAATGAAATACAAATCACGCCAGGGGGCATAAAAAAAAATCCTTGCCTTCTTCAGATAAGGGGGAAAGGGAGCAGCAGAAGAAATGGAGGTAATGGATTCAGGGCCATCTACATTTCATTTCTTTCTCTGGCAGATCCTAATGGATTTCTAGGTGAAGGGAATCAAAAAGGCCTGTCACCAAGTCACAAAGCCATCTCAAACACATGCACCCCATCCAGCTCCCAGACCACCAGCATGCTTTATAATTTCTTGACACTACAAATATTTGGCAGTGCTGAAATTGCCCCCAATGAGATCAACCTGGGGCTTCATCTGCAGTTCTGAGGTGCTCTCCAAGAGTTTGTTAGAGCCCAGCCCCAAACAACCACCACTCATCTGATCCTAATATGGTAGGAAAATGCATCCTCCTTCCCATGCCTGCCCACCACCCTCTAAGTGAAGGGAAGGTCTCAACTTGGTGTGCGTGGCTGTTGCTTTTGCTGTTGACTTGGCCTCTCTTGTTTTCCATTCACACGGCAGCCTGGTGGCCTGAGTCAGAAGACCGAGACTCAGACCTTCCCTTCCAGCCCTTTAGCCGCAGGCCCTCCATCCTCCTGCCTGAAGAAGAAGGCCAAGGCCAAGGCCAGGTTGAGAAGCCGTCGGGGAGAGCAGTCACAGGGGAGTCAAGGGTCAGAAGGGTCCACTGGAAGGGGACAAGGTAGGGTGAGCAGAGAAGGGAAGAGAAAAAGGAAGCAGCTGCCTTGGTGATGCCTCCAGGAGCCCAGGGATGCCAGGCAGGTAGATGCCATCAGCCATGAGGCTGCTGTTTGCTTCTGCCCACAGAGTAAAATTTCACCCCACGTTAAGATGTTGACATGGGACTTCTCTGGCAGTCCAGTGGTTAAAGACTTCACCTTCCAATGCAGATTGGTCAGGGAGCTGGGCTCCAACATGACTGGAGGCCAAAAAACCAAAAGGTACAGTAATATTATACAAAGTATAATATTGGAAGTAATATTATAACAAACTCAATAAAGACTTTAAAAATGGTCCACATCAAAAAAAAAAAAACTTTACAAAAATAAAAGACACTGACATATGGACATCTTTCTCTTTGAAGTTAGAAATTCTTACAGCTTACAACGTGAGTTTCACTCAATGCCATTTTGGTCTTAGTTAGAGCTGCTGCTGCTGCTAAGTCGCTTCAGTCGTTTCCGATTCTGTGCAACCCCACAGACGGCAGCACACCAGGCTCCTCTCACCCTGGGATTCTCCAGGCAAGAACACTGGAGTGGGTTGCCATTTCCTTCTCCCTTAGTGAGAGAAAGTGGTGTCATTTTCCCTCTTCACAGGTGAGAAGACAGAGGTACAGAGAGGTACAAGATCAGAAGTCCAGGCAGGATTCCTCAGGCTTATAAGGAAGGAGCCTGAAGATCTTGCAGGAGGTTTGGAGGAATCTGTGCTTGCTTGCTAAACACCTGTGTCCAAAAGATTCATTCCATCCTTAGCCCCCTCCCAGAGCCAGGCCTGTGGACAGAGTAGGCTCCATCAGACCCCAGCCTCCAACTGCCCCTCTTCAGAAAAGACATCTGGACCCCCTGGATCCCCGAGAGTGGAAACATGAAAGTCTGCCTTGCCCCTCATCACATGGAGACCTCCCCAAAAGTCTCAGGCAAGCCCCATGGCAAGGGGGGTGTTGCCCCATGGCAACACAGAACGCAGTGTTTCTCCCCAGGCCATGCCATAAACAAAGTGACTGCCTTTTAGTGATTGCCTTGTAGATGACATCCTCAGCCCTGCTTCTTTCCTCCTGCCTGGGAGATGGCTGAGATATAACTTACTAAATGGGCCCCACTTCGTGTTCACATGCAATCCAGAATAGCCCTCGTTTTCCCTGGTTCCTCCCTGCCCATCATTCAGTCTGAGCCCAGATCTTATAATAAGCCTCTCCCCAGCCCTTCCTCCTGAAATGCCCATGGCTTTTCAGGGCCTGTTCCCCTCACTGCAGCAAGTTAGTGAACTTGGCTTTATGTGGTGACATGCATTCTTGGTGGTTCTTAATCTGTTGAAAAGAGCAACGTGGGGGAGAAGTAGCTGAGGCTAAGCCTTGCGTCTAACCACAGTCTCTGCAAACAGCTTCCTCAGGGATGATACTGATGCTGAGATATCTGCTTGTTATCAACACCTGGTTCTCCAGAGAGAGAGGATACAGGCCCGAACTGTGGGGTAAAGGGCTCCATTTCTTCTTCTCTTCTCTCCTGGAGGCCACATCTCCAGTCTGCATCTAGGATTCCGAGAGGGGAAATGAGCAGAGGGACACCTTGAGATCTGAAATGTATGTGTTGATTTTGTCTTGTTGTTGTTATTTTTAATGTTTACATTAAAAATAGTCATTTTTTCTGATTCAAAAAGAATAAACAGTTAAAAAAACTCAAACTCTAGAAAAATACAAGAAACTAAAACTACCTTGAAATCCACTAGTCTGTTAATCACCACTAAGATTTGGGTAACCCAACTCTTTATATTTCTGTCTGTGAACATCCATATGCCTTCTGTATAACTGGAAGAGCATACGTACTGGTGTTCTTTTATAACGCACACCTTTTTCTCTTTCATGGTCTTTTTTCTTATCTCCAATCTCTGCCTCTTCAACACTTCCCCTGCAGGGCACCAGTGCAGCCTAAGATTCCCACCCTGATCTCCACTCACCTTTCTCCACACAGCAGTGAAAGAGAAAGTCGTGTCCAACTCTTTGAGACCCCATGGACTATACAGTCCGTGGAATTCTCCAGGTCAGAATACTGGAGTGGGTAGCTGTACCCTTCTCCAGGGGATCTTCCCAACCCAGGGATCGAACTCAGGTCTCCTGCCTTGCAGGTGGATTTTTTTACTAGCTGAGCCCCAAGGGAAGCCCAAGAGTAGAGGGTGATAAAAGCCCTCACTCCTGGGGAAGGTCTAGATTTTGACAATGGACATTGGACAAAGAGACAAAGACAGATACACGCATGCAATTAAGTAATCTCTGATTAGAAGTCAGAAGACGGGGACTTTCCTGTGGTCCAGCAGTTAAGACTCAGCACTTCCAGTGCAGAGGATGCTAGTTCAATGACTGGTCAGGGAACTAGGGTCCAGCATGCCATACCATGCAGCCAAAACAAAATAAAATAAAAATAAGACAAAAGCTGCTATTGAAATGTTCCTATGAATAAACTTAAAAAAAACCCTTGAGTAAAAAAATTATCTAAAAAATAAAAAGTCAGAAGAGTCTGTCTTGTGGATGTGGTGCTATCTATAATTTTAAAGATTGTTGCTGGGCTATAACTGAGTTCTGCTCAAAATATACTGACTGGTAGGACAAACAGAACAACCCAGACATCCTCCTCCTCTTCCTCCCAAAACGAAGTTGGATAGGGTGGGACGTGGCGGGTGGGGGTAGTTTCTATGTGGATTTCATCACACCCCAAGGCCCCTTTAGATGGTGCTTCCAGTCTGTTCTCTGTGTGTAGCAGTGTTCTGACCCGGCTGGTACCCTACCAAACAGAATTCCCCTCTGCGCCTACAGAGCACCTTCTTGCTCCCTGTCACTTCTAATTATCTAAGATCATTCACCGTCTGGTATAACATTCTCAAGACACCAGCTATGATCAATGGCTGCTTCCTAATGCACTGCTTTCCATGGCACGTGATAAAGATGGATGTCATTTTACTCAACTTTACTTTTTGAAAATCCAGGTAAACACCAAGGGTGAACTTAATGGTAGTTATTTGTTGAAGAATCAACATATTGCACAAGAAAGGGATATCCTAAGTGAGGCTACAAAAATGTGTGATTCACATCGAACATTTTGGGAGCATGTTAGTTGCCTTAAAGGAGGGTGCACATCTGCGTGCCTGTCTGTAAGTGTGTGAGTCTGCACCCATAAGCCTGGACCTCTGGTCTCTGGCCTTTTAAATCAGGACCAGGTTGCCTGCCACATACTTCTCTTCTGCCTGTCACTCACCAGAAGCGGCCCCTTGCAGGCTGGAACTCTGCTGTGAAAACAGGTGCAGCCGACTTCATCCAAAAGATTAAAAAAAAAAAAAAAAAAGACTCCAAAACAAAAACTTTCCACTAAGAGCAGGCAAGCTTTGCTTTTTTTCAAATAAGTGTTACTTAACAGAAGGTCTTGTAGAGCTCGTAAAACCCTGGAACATCTGGTAAACGGTGTCAGTTTTACACGTCCTCCAACACAGGGTACATGACTCCTGTTTCCACTGGCGTAACTCAAGGACGCTGGTGCGTCTCTGGGCATCCTGCCCATCCTGATTTTCATGGGATGATCCCAAGCCAGCAGATCTGTCTCTCCTTCCACCAGGCCAGCAACGGACAACAGAAAACCTCAGAACCCAGACCCAAGAGGCGAGAGAGATGGCGGGGAGAATGGAAGCTGCCAGGGACATCATCCCTGCTGTGACAGGCACACGTGGCATGCTGGGAGATTGGGGAGGGGACACAGATCAGGATGCTGCAAGTGACGGGCACGATGACTTTCCTGGGTGCCTTTCAAATACCATGAGAATCTGTGTCTTTAACATTTAGTCATTTATCCCAGTTAAATAAACAGCCCACCTTTGGCCTGAGTTGGATGCCAGGGGTTGAGGGTTACTCAAAAACATTGAAAATCAATATTTCCAAAGTTGTCTGGAAATGAGGTCACAGCCCCATCAGCAGATGCTATTTGTTATACCTGTTTTTATATCCTGGCAAGAATGAACCCCAAAGGCTCCACCATGAGACTCTGACTTTGCTATCAGAAGACAGCTTCTTGCGTCCCTGCTGGACTGTGTTCCCACCATGTGACTGTCCACCCTAGGGACAGCCATTAGAAAACATCTGAGAAACCATCTAAACTGTGAGTTCCCAAGCAAACATCTCAGAAAACACACCCTTGCTTTTCTGCAAACCCTCACACTCTTGCACCTCTCTTCAGAATATATCTAGGGCTCAGGATTGTCCTAAAACCTGGACACAGGGCAGTGCAAGCACCCAGGAATGAGCTGAGGCCCCCTGGCCATAGGAGGGCTGCCTGTGTGTGTTTGGGCAAGTCCCCCGCTTAAGCCTCAATATCTTCATCAGACAAATTGCTCTGTTTCTCACAGACTTGATGGCAGACTCACACAACTTAAGACACACGAATGTGGTCTGTAAGACATTCCACCAGTGTTACTTCCAGTTATACCTACGTAATTGCTGACCTCGTTGTCATTTCTATAGTCTTCCCTAAAAAAAAAACCCAGTTCTGGCTAATGAATTAACAGAAAGTCTGCTGAAAGATTTCTGGGAAAGAAATTTTGCTGCTGATGAAATACACTGATGTTAAACAAAAGAGCTCTCTGGTATACTCCCTTCCATGTGCTTCCTGACTTTGAACGCAGAGCTGCATTAGCCATCCTGTCATCATGAGACCATAAACCCAAGAATCAAAACTCCATTATGCTGAAGATGGGAGAAGGTATGAAAAGGACCTGGGTCCTTGATGACATCACAGAACCAACACCAACAAATCCCTCTTTGGGACTTCTTGTTATGTGAAAAAGAATAAGCCCTACTTATACAAGTCACTGTTGGGTTTCTGTTCCTTGCAGCTGAATGCCTTCTAACAGATCTAGTCCCTCTGTTAGCCGTTTTCATAGGACCTCATATTTTCCTCTGAAGAGCTTATCACAGTTATAATCACTTAATAAAGTATTTCTTAAGTTTAGAAGTTTAGTTACATTCATAACTTGAACTGAATTTATTTCTAAATATTTCAATATATCTAGTTAAATTACTGAAATAAATTATTTAATTCTTAGTATAATTATCTACATATATATTTTTTTGTAATTATCTATGGGGGCTTCCCAGGTGGCTCAGTGGTAAAGAATTTGCCCACTCATGCAGGAGCCACAGGAGACGTGGGTTCAACCCCTGGGTTGGGAAGATCCCTTGGAGAAGGAAATGGCAACCCACTGCAATATTCTTGCCTGGAGAATCCCCATGGACAGAGGAGCCTGGTGGACTACAGTCCATGAGGTCGCAGAGTCGGCTTCGAATGAGCACATAATTATCTGTCCAGTGTCTCAGTTCCCACCTAGACTTAAGTCCTATGAAAGCAGGAACTACCTTTGCCTATTGATTGCCAAATCCTCAGCTCCTAGTTCAGGGTCCAGCATATAGAAGTTGCTCAGTAAATATTGGTTGGTTAAGTAAATAGCTCTGGTTCTGAATGGACACTGGTCACTTCACTTCTTAATCCCAGTAGTACTATGTGGTGTTTGGTCTAATTAGTGTTTAGGTTCTGGCAATATCAAGGGACCTCTCCACCATTTTATTCCAACGCTCACTAGAGTCAGATTTTTATGCCAGTTGAACCACGTCCCTTGTGGAGATAACACACAACACTGACCCCTCAGAGGACCCTCAATAAAGACTTGTTGAACAGAATTTGCAGCCTCCCAGAGTTGTTTTCAATACGATAAATGCTTTCTGCATTCCAAAGACTGTTTGAATCCTTTCTTCAGAAGTTTGAGATTCACCCTCAGCTTTGAGAGCAGGAAAACACCTCAGTAACTAATACCCACCCATACACTTTCCTGATTTTGCTTCAAGAAGAAGGAAGAACATTTTTCTCAGTGAGAAATCTTCCCATTCTTACTGCTCCCTGGGCTGTGTTACCACTTCTAGCCTCAGCTGGAACTAGCAACCCCAAAGCTGCCCCAGAAAAGGAGAAGGAAAAAGAATTAAATCACACCACCCACCAGGGATCGGGAGTTTACAAAATAGTTTCCCAGTGGTTGGCTGCGAACACAGTGTGGAGGGTGGTCTCTGCCTCCATAGCTGGTTCCCGCGTCCTCCCCATGCGTCAGGGGTGTATATTACCTTTCTCTCTGTTAAATGCCAACACACAAACTCCTGGAAAGGGTCCATCAGCAGTTCCAAGACAGGATCTCCCACA